TCAAGTCAAAATTATTCTGACCACCCCGGAATTTGTATTTGGTGGCAAGAAAATTCCGGAGGCCTTGGAGTATTTGAAATTGCAATTAACCGTCGAGTCAACGCCTTATTAGTCTGTCCAGATCTTTCGAAATCCGTCGCGTACGTAGATTTACTCGCGCCCGGGAGTAGCATCTCGCCGACGAGACAAGCCGGTCAAAACGAACTATCATGCAGGGGCGCCCTTCGTTTTTCTAATCTTTATTATCATAATTACTTATTTCTACTCAGTTAATTCTGATTTCTTTCACTTATTTATTTCCTTCCACCTAAGCTAACGCTACAACCCATCCTCCTGGCTCTTGCCAGTAAAGAAAAATAAATCTAGGTCCCAAGGGAGACCTAATAATACTGTCACGTTATATGAACGCAACTTTTTATAAAAGGATTAGTCAAATTTCCGATGACGATGTAATCGAGAAGTCGAATCTGGAACGATCACGCACTTGGATGGGCGCAACTACGCGCTCGTGCATGCAACTACAAATTGATGGAATATGCCCAATCATACCCTCGCATCATGATCGAAAGACAAACAACAACCGGAAATCCCCCGATTACGATGGGATAAATAGCAATTCTCTTAAAAAGCTTCCACCAAAAGCAGTCAGTTAGCTAACTATACTTATAAACGCTTGTCTTCGATTTCCCCAGTCAGTGGAAAGTTGCTCAAATTATACTAATTCCAAAGCCGGATAAACCTCTTGAACTTGTAACATCTTACAGACCCATTAGCCTGCTACCTATCTGTGCTAAGCTTTGTGAAAATGTTATACTTACAAGGAGAGCCTTTCATCTGCGGGTCACAAATCCTTACCAAACTTGTTTAGGGATCTTCTTGTACATAATAATGAAGCCCCCTATGGTTACTTTATTCCAATGGGCCCTGGAATCCACTATAAAGCACCATAAAGTATATAATATAATATAATGTATAAAATACCATATATTAGCGTATAATAATATCAGGTTTACACAGTCAAGTCTAACTGATTGAGAAGTATTTATACTTTGAGTTTTTAATGTCCAAAACACCTTTTCAATCAATAAACAATTTAACTCAATTGGTTTACTGAAATTCTCAAAGAGTGAATCAATTCAAGCTAAAATTTATGCATTTATCAACTAATATATTTATATTAAATCATGTAAAAATGTTTTCATTTATAAAACTTACTGTTCTTTCTTTATCACCTATTTCTGGCACTCAAAACATATGTAAATTCACTCCAGATGAGTGTCAGGAATAGGTGAAGAGAAGGGACATGTGAGTTATACAAATAAAAAACATTTTCATATAATTTACATCAATATTTATTGTTTGGTACGTTAATTTTAGCTCAAATTGGTGCGCTCTTTAAAACTTACACAGCAAACCAATTGAGTTCAATTGTTTATTGTTTGCAAAAGTGTTTAGAATCCATAAAAGTTCATGTACAAATATTTTTGAGACAGTTAGACTTGACCGTACAAGGGCTGATACCAATAAGTGGTATTTTATACATTATACTATATTATATATACTTTATGGTGCTTTATAATGGTTTCCAGGGCCCATTGGAATAAAGTAACTATAGGGGGCTTCATTATTATGTACAAGAAGACCCCCAAACAAGTTTGGTAAGGATCTGTGACCCTCAGATGAAAGGCTCTCCTTGTTAGTAGAATCCAACCGATATGGCAAGAAAAGAAGCTGATTCCGGAACATCAATTTGGCTTTCGCGAGAGTCATACTCAATAATTGAACAGGTTAATAGGATAGTTGTCAATGAACGAAACGCTTTTGAAAGAAAACAGTACTGCTCAGCCATATTTCTCGATGTTGCTCAAGCCTTTGATAAGGTTTGGCACGCGGGCTTGCTACACAAAATCAAAAAAAAACTTTTCAGATAGTCTTTACCAACAACTGAAATCGTACCTGGAAAATCGAACATTCCAAGTAAAAGTAAACAGTGACACGACTGAACTTTATGATATCCACGCTAGTTAAACACAGGGAGGAGTTCTCGCTCCAACCCTGTACCTACTGTACACGGCGGACATACCTACTTTTGATATCACAACCACAGTAACATATGCAGACGACACTGCTCTACTCAGCACAAGCTCGGATCCAGTAAATGCTTCAGCTAATTTGCAGGAACACGTGAAAACAGTTTAAAACTGGTTCAGAAGCTTGAGAATCAAGATAAACGAGAATAAATCTGCCCACATCACCTTTACTCTTCGCAAAGGCACGTGCCCAACAGTACTCATAAATAGTACCGAGGTAAAGCAATACATTGAAGTCAAATATCTTGGAATCCACCTTGATCGATGCTTCGCCTGGAGAACACACATCTGGTCGGATAGAAAACAACTAAACTTGAAATCCAGGAAAATGTACTGGTTACTTGGAAGAAATTCAGTTCTAACTTTGGAAAAAAAAATTACTCCTTTATAAAAGCTCACTAAAACCTATTTGGACATACGGAATTCAACTGTGGGCGGAGCTTCCAAATCTAACATCGAAATAATTGAAAGATTTCAATCCAAGATATTAAGAAACATAGTCAATGCTCCATGGTATGTGACGAATGTTGGCATCAGAAACGATCTAGACATTCCATCTGTTAGTGAGGAAACAAGAAGACTTTCAACCTACTATAAAGATAGGTTGAAAAACCATCCAAACACGTAGGCTTCCGAACTCGGACAAATCTCTTTTGAAGAGTCAAGATTAAAGAAACACATTTACCTCTGATGAGTCAACCATGCAAAAGCTACGGATCTAGACTACATCAAGTCAAGATTCCTGGCCAACTAGGGCTCATGTCACTGGACTTGAGCTCACACACGTTTCTATTTTCCACTCTCACTTATTGTACTGCTAAAACATTCTACCTATTGTCTAATTATGTAGATAGTGTGAATTAAAAAGGAGTTAAAAAAAAAGCATTCGCCAAAATAACTTTGTCATTTTTTAACGACGAAAAAATTATGTAAAGCGTCTAATTAATAAAGCATACAACCCTCTCTTTTATGAATTCACTATTGACACCTGACATATATTTATAAACGCTTGAACCAGTTGAGTTTTGACTGTTTATCTATAAGAAAGTATATTGTTAGACTATTAAAATTTTATAAATTGACAGGTATATGTTTTTCAATTTTAATTTTCTTTTTTATTGTAACCCAGTTGAAAAAAATTGCATGGATATCCATGTGGATTATCTTGTTGTATAACGTATTGCGAGAGGGGACTATTTCGAGAGAGTCTGCGAGGTTTTGCAAAGATTCAGTAACATCGTAGAAGTTGTATACGTTTCAGCTAAGTGTAGCCTGACAGTCACAAGGCGGGCGAGTGAAGAGTGACCCTGAGAATGATCGAAGTTGTTTTAGCCTTTTAGGTTACAAAGTTTTTTAGCTCTACGTTTAGTCCTGAAAAGGACAAGTATCAATGCAGGCTGTTTATGAAGTAGGATGACCGACTTGTGACCGTATGCCACTGATGCACTTGAGCAAGGTCAGACTTCTCCTGGAGATGAAGGTCCGAATTGCCGATGACGTCGTTGTTGATCAGGATGCTTGACTGTCACTTGACTCGTGAGAGTTGAATGACAAAAAATCCGATCTCTTTCCAACTTGTAAAAGTTGAACAGTCAAAAGTCAACCCACTTTTCTGTTCTCACTTTTGTAAAAAGTCGAACAGTCAAAAACCGATTGAATTTGGCCGGGAAACAATTATACTAGTACCCTGAACTCGGCTCTTCTTCTTGCGGGCACAAGTTTTTTGTGGTACTGCACGACCTGGTGGATGAGTCAGAAGCTCCAAAGTAGGCAAGTGAAGAAAGGTGATGAAATGATTAAGCGAGTATTTGTAATTTGACCAAGTTCACTATTCAGAAGTTGCCCTAGGTCAAAACTTTCAAAATCTCGTCGACGCGAGCGCAAGTACGAGAGTCGATGTGATCTGGTTGGCTGTCGAGAGGGAGTCAAGCAGGAGCGCGCTGATTAGCCGTCAGTGTAAGGTGGGGACGAGTGCAGCAATGCACGTCGTTATTCACGAGGATATCCACGATTATTGCACGAAGTTATCCACGAAGATTAAACATGGATACCACACAGATCGGACAACGAATCTTCGTGGATCATACATGGATTGAAAAAAATTCTAAGTTGGCTGTTCTCTAACTTTTCGGGGATCTCAGACTTGTTTCGCGAGCCGGCGAGTTGTTGTCGGTGAATCGACGTTTATTGTAACTTCTCCAAGTTGATATTAATTGATTAATCCACGATTATTTTTGGATAAGTCTTCTTTCTACATTCACGAGCTTTTATTAAAAATCAAAGCAGAGGTTCGAAAGTCTACGAAGATTCAATCGAAAATCCTCGTGGGTTGATCGAAAATCTGTGCAGGTTTTTTGTCTATCCACGAGGGTTTTCGCGGAAATACTTATTTATTGTATAAAAATCAACGCGGAGGATCGAAAGTCGGCGAGACCTCTAGCGAAAATCCTCTTGGGTTGATAAAAATAATTAACAAATCTACATGCTCATTGATACATATAGTAGATTTGGAATATTTAAAATCATAATATTCTTTCATACAGATTGAGGTTGGGAACGGACATTTTATTGAACAAAAAGAAGTGAGTTCTTTCGATAGGATTCAATTAAACAAGTTTACTATAGTTTAGTTAAACATGTTTGATTTATATAACTAATTAAATAGCATATATTGCACCTAGGAAGTGAAAAATATACTATTTTTACAATTTTTAATATTAATTTTTGAGTATTTATTGTATTAACTTGAGCAAAAATAGGAACAGACCCCTCACAATTGTATAAATCATTACTTTTTAGATATCAGGTTTTGTGAAAAAATTTAAATTTTATCATTTATGTAATTTAACGATTAAACAAATACATAACAAATACATTTGGGTTACTAATATTTTATATTATTCAGCATAATAATCTTGCGACAAACGCAACCACAGAAACTGGAATGAGTACAGATGGTTGCCAAAATGATATATCTACAGCGAATGTGAAAGCAACTGAACACTCAAGAAAAGATCAAAGAGTAAACAGTATCATTGCCCAACATGCACTGCATAATGATCAAGGTCACGGTAATGGAGAAAACCATATGAAATTCCGACGTGGTCTTCTTCAATTAATGATACATACCATAGATCCTCTTCACGATGGTAAGAATATAAATTGAAAATGGAATAAAATTGAATATTCTATAATATATAATATTGCATAGTTTCAAATTATTTTTATTGTTTCGTAATAAAAACACATTTTTGATGTTTGCAATCTCTCATGTTAAAATGTTTCATAGCACAAAAAGAAGTGAAGCTGGTGGAAAATATTATGAGGAGTTCAAGCAACTCTTTGTAATAATCTCATAGTTGGAATTTTGAATCGAGGAACTTTTTAGCGAAAACAATCATTTCATCAGCACAATCTGATGAAATACTAACTAAATGCGTATTTAAAGAAATCTTGTGAGGTTTTGTTTTTATATCGTTCCATTTCGATGAAAAACAATTAAACATCAGTAAACCAGGTCCGGTGCTAGGTCCTTAGCAGCAACTCACTGCAGACACTAAAGTGAGCTCATATACATGATGTCGACACTCACAATATAAAACAGATTTTCCTTACATTTTTTTATGGTAATAGCAGCTAGGTTTTTAACTCCTTAATCCACACTGGTGGTATCGTAGCACAGTGCTTTTATATTATTACTAATTTTCCAATCATTTACTAAATCGACAACAACGGTAGCTACATTGAGTCCAGTAGCTTTTAAAATTTACCGTGCGCTAAGATACAAGCACTGATTGATAGTCTCTTTACTTTGGATTTAGTGTTGTCGAATTGTGGGAGCATTTTCCCATCCCAATAAAGAGTTAAATAATTATCTGGCTTGAAAGATTCTTTGATTTCCTTTGAATAATTTAAACGATTGGCTTGACGATTTATCCTTATTATTTGACAACTCACATTTACATTATTTAGAAAATGACCTAAGCTATTTAAAACTGAAGAAACTATTTCCATTGCATTTCGGTCTGATGTTTTTTCATATCCAATATTGAACAAACGGTTGAATCAATAAATTTATTTCTTTTTTGTTTTTTAGCTTTTGGAGAGGAGTAAGGAATATCATTTTGGATATTTGAGGAGTAAGAGTAAAAACAGTACTTTCAGATATGTTGCTCTTTTGTGAAAGTTTTGACGAGCTTTCGGAATTTCCTGACAAAGCGCTTTGAATTGTATTTGGCTTTTTACAAATTTCAAATGACTTCATATGGATTGAAAAATGTTGATTCATCTTATGTAGTCGTGTGAAAAGGTTGATTAAGGGCTAACAGGGGGCTTAATTAAATTAAATTTTTCAATTGCAGTACTAGGCTGTAAAAGTGAAAACAAATTTTTTTTCAATAACACACATGATAACCCTTTTCAATACCCTATTTGAAAGTATTTTGTCCAGTTAGATACTTAGAAACAGTGAAGTACATTAATAGTGGAGCTGTTGACCCTCAACAAATGCTTTAAACACGTCTAAGCTACCTGTCGTAGTAGAAAACCAAGAACGAGCATCCATCTAAACGAGCATATGTGGTTTCATTTTGTTCGATAGCCAATTGGCCATGGTCGTAACCAAAAGCTAGCCATAAGATGAACTGTAACTACTTGTACATATAGCAAAGTGAAATTAATTTATGGAAAATGATGAGAAACGAATACTTAATTCTAGAAAATTGTACACACAAGTAGCTGCAGTTCATCTAATGGCTAGCTTTTGGTTGCGACCATGGCCAATTGGCTATCGAACAAAATGAAACCACAGATGCTCGTTTAGATGGATGCTCGCTCTTGGATTTCTACGACAGGTAGCTTAGACGTGTTTAAAGCATTTGTTGAGGGTCAACAGCCCCACTATTAATGTACTTCACTGTTTCTAAGTATCTAACTTGACAAAATACTTTCAAATAGGGTATTGAAAAGGGTTATTATGTGTGTTATTGAAAAAAAATTTTTTTTTCACTTTTACAGCCTAGTACTGCAATTGAAAAATGAAAAATAATTAAGCCCCCTGTTAGCCCTTAAGGTGTGTTGATATACGCAAGTCGCATACTACTATAGACACGCACTGCAGATCACGCCGAGCTTTATGGATCGCGCCATTTCTCAGCCACGCTGCGACTCACGCCACTTCTTAGCCGCCTTGCAGCAGCAGCCACCACTGAGTCGGTTCGAATGGCTGTGGACAAGCGTAAGATCACCGCATTAGTGTCTTTCGACTTCTCCAAGGCGTTTGACTCGATAGACCATGGCTTGCTCATTTCGAAACTTCGTCGCCTTGGATGTGACGTGCTCGCCATGGAGTGGTTTTCGAGCTACCTGAGCGATCGTAGTATGTCAGTCAAGAGCGAGGATGGCACTCTTTCCGAGCCACTATTCACCACCTCCAAAATACCGCAAGGAAGCAGTTTTGGGCCGCTGCTGTTTGCCATATTCATAAACGACCTCCATACTGCGCTACGCCACTCTAAGCATATGATCTATGCCGACGACACGGCCATTTTTCAGCACCACTTTCCATCCAGGATTCACGAGCTCATAGCTGAATTGAACTCAGATGCCAACGCCGTCGCAGCCTGGGCTGCCGAGAACAAGCCCCACCTTAACCCGACTAAAACCACGGTCATGATTCTCGGCAGTCTCGCTTATGTCTCTTCCATCGACAAAGCTGCTCTGCCCAAGATCACGCTAAATGGTACAGGCATTGCGTACTCGTCAGGCATCAAATGCCTTGGCGTCACTATCAGTCCCACGCTGTTGTGGACAAACCACATTAATTCACTCAGGTCAAAATGCCACTTTGCTCTATACTCATTGCGCTTTTACAGGCACGCGCTGAATCGTCAGCTAAGAGCAAGGCTCGCAGTGGCCCTGGTTTTGCCTCATCTTGACTACGCGGCCGCTGTCTACAATGACATATCGGCCACTTTCGATCTTAAATTGCAGCGTCTTCAAAATACGTGTGTTCGCTTTGTTTTTGCCTCCATACCAGCTCGTGAACACGTGACACCTTATCACTTGGCCCTTGGTTGGCTATCGGTCAAAAGACGTCGCCAATACCTGCTCGTCCTGTTCGCACTCAACATACTGCGGAGCGGTGAACCTGGCCCGCTTTGCAATCTCTTCCAGCTCTCCTCTGATCGTCAGGTTCGCCATTCATCGCGTCGGCAGACGCCGCCACAATGTTACAAAACCCCTCGCACATCATCGCTTCATAACTCATTTTTCATCACAGCCTCACGGATTATCAATTCACTCCCCTTTCGAATTAACCTCACCAACACATCGATTGATTATCGGGCGCTTCTCTACAATCACTTGTATTGTCTCGACAAGGCGGACTGGATCGCTGCCACTTCGAGAACATTGCCCCGATTCCACCTCCGCTAGTGAACGAGCTAGTTCTTTGGCTATAGAGAGAGAGAGTGCTTTGTACGGCCATCATTCAATGAATCAATTGTATCGCCTAAGCCTGGTTCACTGTTATTTGCCATCGTATTTAGTACATTCACAACTTATGTAACTGCTATTAACTACACTCTGCTCACCACTGTATTTTTAATTGTAAATATTTTTTAAAAATATTGATATATGTATACTATGCTCTACCTGGGCCTCATGGGGTGCTACCCCACGGTCCAAATAAATTTAAACTTCAAACTCAAACTCAAACTCCACCACCACCGGCGTCGATCGGCCGTCGGCGCGTTCGGCCGCTGCGCGCATTTGCTCGTGAGCTCTTGCGCTGAGTACATCTCCCGGACCTCCGGAAATGTGCGGCCCTCTCGGTATACCAGAGTCACCAAGACCCAAGAGACGTATTTTCTCCTGGATCACCGGAGATTACACACATCTCTCGGACTTCCAGAGATTTTACAACAACTCGAGTTTTTCAAGGTTGTTGACTGCATAGGGACAGTTCACTTTAATAAAGTTAACTTCGTTTCTCCACAAAAAAATCTTCTTCCTACATTACCTCTCTCATCTCTCCCGCTTCCCACTTCTGCCACTAGGTGGCCCCAACCGCAATAGTCGCTCTCCACAAGTGACGTGTCGCTGCCAGAACTTAAGAAGGGGACTCGTTCTACACATTTCAACTCTCACTCGAGAGAAATAAACCAGCTTAGCTTTCAGCTTGCATGGATTTCGAGAGTGAAGTGATCACCGTCCCCTTTTCAGGCCTAACACAAAAACCACCAGGCCGCAACAGGTTATCCGTCCCAAGTTACGGTCGAAGTCCCCACCGAACTTATCAGTGTGATTATTACGAACGATCATTACTGAGGATTTAGAATTTAGAATTTATTTTAGTGAGAAAAAGTAACTTTTCAAGTTTTTCATCATATTTGATCGTTGAGCGACTTTTGAACATTGAAATTTAGCTTCCTCTTTTTACTTCTTAAAAAAAATAAAAGGGTAAGTAAGCGAAAATAAAAATATTTTGTTTTTTTAGATCACCCTAGTACCCATATTTTTCTGAAAAAAAAAGAAAAACCGATTTTCCTAATTTCAAAGGGCCCAATTGTTGAAATTCCAATCGACTAAACTGTGGCATTTGTTATTACTTCATTCCTACCATAGAACCCTAACGAATCCCGGTAAGAAACGCCGGTTGCGAATTTTTTCACTTTTAACATAGAGTCAGATCTAATTGGACTGGACTATTATTTATGCCCATAAAAGTAAAAAAATTAAAAAAAAAAAGACTATTTTGAAACGGTTTAAAAATGCATAACTTTTAAACTACTCGATAGATCCTTGAATGAATTCTTGACGCTTCTTATGACATACAAATTCTTCAAAACAAGCTTAATCTCGTCTCACTACGTGCCTCCATTCAAAAATTAAACTGGGTTTATACCAATGGACGTACACACATACACTTATGGGGCGAAATTTCTCAAAACTGCTAACGCCTCGTGCAATAGCGTTTTTGAGCGAAATTGCTCAAGTTCTAACTTGCTCTAAAAGTACCTAAACGAACCTGAAAAAAATTACCAACCAGTAATTTCGATAGGAAATTTGCTCAACTTTCTGATGGTGTGATACAATTTTCTGGAAGTTTTCATTTTCACCTCGGAAAATGCAAGTAAACTTTCAAACTTGAATGTCTCAAAAAGCGTCCTTTTTTTGCATTTTTATTGTTTCAATGGAAAGCTGAGATTTATTTACATGAAATATAGTTGTTTTTGAAGTGTAATATTCATAATAATATTAAAAAATATCTTCAATTGACCCGTGTAATTTGTCGTTGAATTATATTTCTCGTCAATTGAAATAAAAGGGCACAGGTTTTGATTTAAGATCTTTATTTTTTCCACGTTTCAGTCACTAGTTCGTGGCCCTCTTCAGGAGAACTCTATACAAATATTACAATAAATATTACAAATTTTGGATAAATTTCTTACACAGATAGTAAAATCAGAAATAAAGATAATATACCTGTCAGTTGATAAAATTTTATTAGTGTAACAATACTTACGGTCAACTAAAGTGAGCGTATATATAAATACATTACAAGTCTACCTTTATTTCATGAAAGAGGGGATTGTATGTCCTGCTAAGGCGCTTGACGTCATCTTTACAGTTTATATTATGTTGGTGGAAATTAATATTCACTATTTCTGAGATAACACGTTTATACCAACTTACTTCCCCATCTAGAATTTTAACATTTTGCCAGTCCAATTGATGATTGTATGTGTGGCAGTGTTTTGCCCCTATAGTTTCACTTTTCTCAATTCTGCGATGTTCGGCAATCCTTTCTTTCAATTGTCTCTTCGTCTCACCAATGTACGTAGCACTACAACTAGTGCATGACAGCTTATAAACGTACTATCGAGTATAGAAGTCGAATCCTTACCAAGTCTTATGTATTTACTAAAATCATTGTTAATTTTAGGAATTGCAGTGAAACTAAATTCATCCTATAAAAGTTTTAACTTTTTAAACAAAATTTGATTTATGAACGGAACTACAACAGCAATCCGATTTTTTCCCGAACTGCCGGCGGAGTCCCGTTCAAGGTTATTTTAACTATTGTGTGTACAGTGTATTTTTTCTAGTCGGAGGCGAATGAATCTATTGAAAAATTGTTTAAGGTAAAAATTTGACTCCAAAAGTTCTCTCACAATTCTTAAATTTTCCTCATGGAAACGTTGATGGGACAATAAAATAGCTCTGTCAACTAAATTATAAATCATGTTTATTTTGAGTGATTCAGGGTGATTTGAATTAAAATTAAGAAATTGACCCGAAGAAGATGATTTTCGATACCAATTGGTAATAATGCTCTCGTTATCGATGGTAACATTAGTATCGACGAAGTAAATAGTTTTATCAATAGAAAGTTCGTGTGTAAACTTTAAAAATTGGTTATAACTGTTGAAAGCCATCAAAACAAAGTTTATATCCTCAGATCTTAAACACATTATAGAGTTATCCATGTATCGAAAATAAAACAGGGGCGTGAAGTTATGTTCGTATTTTAATCTTTTTAATACGTCTGTTTTTGCTAAGCGAAAAAGGAGAGCCCTGAAAAGGATCGTTCGATAGGTTTTCGAAGCCCGTTGGAATCTGGGAAGCTGCTGCGTTGGAGAGGTAGTCCTGCTTTGATGTTGAAGTTTCATGGCTGCTGATCTCCAACAGTCGCGTGTTGAAGTCGTTCTTAGGAGGTTAGATGAAGTAATGACAAGTCGAAGATTAGATTTAAAGAAAAGAATAATCTTTATTTGTCAGAGTCCCTGCCGAGTGACCCTCTGAGAAGGCAGTGGTCCTTTTGATTGTCAAGGAGCCACGGCTGATGTATCGCAGTCGAGAGCTCGAGCCGCAAGTAAGCTCGTCCGGCTGAGCGCGCCGTATTTATACTTTATAGGGGCGCGTGGTGGTGGCGTGCCATTGAACGGTGGAGCTAGGGTGGGGAGTACACGTAGCTGTCTCTCGCAGTGAAACAGAGAACGGGCGTGATCCGAACTTGTTGAGCCAAGTGCTCACCAATGCGGAAGCGGTGTGGATCCGCCTATGGCATGATAGAAATGACGTGGATCCGACTTTAGCGTCGGACTACGTATATCAAAGTAAATCTTGCTCCAAATGTATTACTTTTTGAAGTAACCCTTCAAATAGTTGTTGTTGTTCATTAGTAATTTTATGGTCTCAATTTTTTCTAGTACGAGATATTCCGGTCCAATTTGGCCTACCTATATTCATAACTTCTTTTCGATTAATTTGACCCTATTATATTAATCTTTTCTCTTTGTTAGCCCCATAATTTTCTTTATAATGGCAACTGATTCTTAATTATTTTCTATACTCGTATACACTTTATTGATTGCTTTGTATTTACTTACAAAGCCAACGTCACCAGTATGAGTACAATAAACTGCATTTCTGACAGATCGGTCCCTTTGCAAATAAATAATTACTTGCCAATTTCATCTCACTCTGTACGAACGTACAACATTGTCACCAAAATTTTCACGCGGGTCGCGATTAAAGCTTTATTTGTTGTCGTTAACTGCTTAGGAAACGGAATGAGAAAAGGTGGTGAAATAACTAATCGTACTGAATGAGCAGCGATGCATCCGGTACCTACCAATTCATGAATAGTAGATTACACGTACTCTGAGGCTTTTTTTCGCTTCATAGGTGCGTATACTATTTTTCATGAATCCCTCAGCAGAAATTAATTTTTTCGATATGGTCACAAGGATGAAAAAGGTTAGTTTCATCTGGGGTAGTATGAAAATTTTATTTAAATTCAGTTACGTGGATAGTTTTTATTTTTTATTAAATTATACAACAAAATTTAAACAATTGATTTTTTAATTAAAGTTAATTTAATTTTTTTCAGGTAAATTAGATGAAAAAGCTACTCAATTGCACGCGATAGCTTCATTAAAAGTTTTACTGGATGCAACGAAATCCCATGGTTTAAGTTCAACTTGTGAGTCTCTCGATAGTAATGAATTTAAAAATTCAATGTCAGAACAAAATCCAGTAAAACAAAAAATTGAAAAAATGAATGTTAATGCTTCAGTAATGGAGAGTTCCACTAGTGGTCATAATATTTCGAATAGAACATCGATGGAAAAAAATGCAGTTTTGGATATGGTATACAAGTTAAATTTCTTAAAATAATTTTATGTAATTTTTTTATTGATTATTTGAACGTTATAGTAATGAAGATAATTGCTCGACTATATGGTACAAAAATTTTATAGATTCTAATTCATAATTTTTAAATATAAACTTTACTCGGGATACGTAGACTTTTATACAGTCGTCCCTTATATGCGGGAGTTCGGTTCCAAAAAACTACCACGTATAAAGAAACCACATACGACCAACTCCTTATGAGAAAACTAGGGTTACGTTGTCAGTCATTTAAAATCTTCAAATTTTTTAAATAAAATAAAAATGTTCGTTCTGAAATCTTGCTGATTTATTGGTATCTTCATCTATTTCTTTTACAGAAAAACATTTATACGGTTTTGCTTAATTTGTGGACATTAATTGTTGTAAAGATCCTTTTAAAGTTTTAAATCTAAATCTCCAGATTTTTTAAAACTGAAGCTACGAGTCATCGCTGAATCTTGACTGAGAGTTTCGTCAATCGCATTTTGAATCAGATCAATCATTTTAACTATAGATTTAGACGATAAATTTTTTTGATTTACTTTTGTATTTTACTTTTGTATTTTAGACAATAGATTTAGACTATACATTTTTTGCAAACTTCAAACAAGATCTCAAGTTAGCGACAATCTATAATCAAAGATTACTGGTTTAATTAGGTTCCAACTTCCAACGAGTTAAGTACTCTGGTAAACGAAAACGCCGATAAACATAACGTTACATAAACCGTCAATGATAGCAATGTCGAAGATACATCAATCAGAATTATAAATAACCATCCGCCAATTTTTATCTGTAAAGTAGCTAATGTGACCCCTCCATTTTCCTTACTGGTTTTAATTGTCAAAAATAAATACTTTTTGAGAATCGCAGGCTCGAAAAAAGTAATAATACAACTTTTCAACGCTGTATTATACCTTTCTATGGGTCTTAAAAAAAAGATACAGAATTCCTTTCTTATCAGAGGGAGCAAAATAAACCTTACAAAGTCGTGCTTAGAAACATAAATCAATCTACTGATATTGCACTCCTTACAAAGGAAATAGAGAGACTGGGTTAGTTCGACAAAAAAACGGTATCTTTGTCTTTTTTCTGTGTAGACCTTAAACTCATTTCAAACAACAACAAAATTTTCAACGCTACGCGTTTGTTCAACTCGGTGGTAAGTTTTGAGTATTCTTATGAAAAAAGAAATATAGCACAGTGCTATAATTGTCAGAAATTCGGTCATACTAAAAAATATTGAAACAAAGTGTCGGTCTGCATACACTGAAAAAATTTTGCACTGAATTATAGATCTCTACAGCGTGAATACATCTTATATTCTTCAAATGAACAAGTATTTATGACACAGTGAATACGAAAGATATACTAATATTTTGAACGGAATCATTTGTCACTGTGACAAGAATTTGGCTTCACGCGTGACGGTAAATTGCGTTATCGATAATGCGCATGTTAGTTAAGGCTAATTACGCGCTGAGCGTGCTCAGTGTTCAGTAATGAATGCGAGTATGGTCCAGAAGATTTGGGCTTCTCCTCGCACTGAAATCATTGAATACAAGTCGAGGAGATGGGCGTACAGTCGAGGAGCGCTCGAACGTGCGCTAAGGTAGAAAAAATGTTTATATACCAAGGGCTTAGAAGCTTCTCGCCCTTGGTATGTAAATAACTATTGGATCTTTATTCACGAAAGTTACGTTACGTTCCGTAACATTTCAATTTTTTAAACCGTGATAACTAAGAAACAATAATAAATATCAAAAAATGGTTATTTATTTCTTGTATAACAAAACTTTTGAAATTAATTTTATCAAGTTTAATAAGGATATTTTTGTGAACAATGACAAAACGTGCTAGTTTTGAGTTTACATTGACCTTTAATTCGATAATGATGCGTCGGACAAAAAAACAACAAATGTCAAAAAAATCGGGAAATATTTTTTCTTTCGCAAATTATTCAAACGTATAAAGAAAATAGGCTCGTTTATGTAAGATTTTACTCAAATATAGTCCAATCACCCCGACAACAAAAAGTGCTTGATAATCGCGTTCACCGTGAACCTAAATACCTACCCCACCATCGTCGTGAACTTTTTACAAGTTAACTGTTGAATATAAAGTTAAGACACTATAGTGTGATATCAATAAAATAAAATTCAGTGCAAAATTTTTTCAGTGTACACTGCAAACCACGAAACCAAGGACTGCACTTTCAAGAATAAAATTAAAGAAGTGTTGTGTGAATTGTCAGAGAAATTACCCCACAAGCTACAAAGGCTGCCTTGTGCCCAAAAACTACAAAAAAACTGTTTCCAGCTTTCAGGCCCAAGTTTTATCTATATGAAAATTCGAACGGGTCGACCTGTTAACCAACAGCTCCCCTAAATAACCAGGGCCTACTGTGATCTCGAGCAAAGATATAAAAGACATAGGATATCGAGATGCACATGACTGAGCTACTGCATATTCTTTTTAATGAAAAGGATCCAGCTTGCAAAAAGAAGCTTAGGGAGGCACTCAACGCCTACAACGATATTTTAATATCGCTTTCCAACGCGTACCTCTGTCGCCTGACAGTGCACAAACTGGATAAAGTCTCCAAAAAATGTAGTGAGGATGATAGCTGGGCTTGTTTTGAATTGACTTGTTGTGCTCTGACTATTACGGCTTCTGGCCTTAATGATGTATCATTGATAGGCCTTTAAGGTAGTTCCCTCAGACTTGACCTACAAATTTGGGCATATGTTTAGAAAAAATCTGAAAAAATTCATAAGCGTTCCTTGAAAAATTCTAAGACTTTTTTTGTTCTTTTAGAGTTTTTCGTAGAATTCATACTTATTGAGATAAAAAATCGCAAAGATTCATTGCTTGAAATTGTTTAAATTTGAATCGTTTATAGCTCGTTAACAATAGATTTTAGAGAAAATTTGCAAGAGCACTTTTTTGTTTAAAATGACCCTAAAAACCTTAAAAAGTGGGTTTCAGGTCAAAAAGTTTAAATTTTTATTTTTGCAATGTTTTTACATTAACTTTTCTCAAAAACTGTTTGGTCAAGTTTTTCCAACTTTTAAGCTATGTTTTAGTGCATATTGAACAATCATCTCCTAGTTTTTGAAAAGATTTTATCCATGCGTTTTTTTAAAATCACACAAAATAGCGTATTTTCGACAAGCTAGCATAGGAATCCCATGTTAAAGTACCGAACTTTGATTAATTTTATTTCGGAAATGGTTTGATTAAAGTTCCTGAAATTTCTTCCACATATGAAAAGAACTGTCAATAAATGTGGTTAAAATTTCAAGACCCTTTATCGACAGTCATTTTTTTAATGTATGCCAGCATGGCTTTGTACGGCTTCGATGTGTGTACATCGCGTGTCCTGACTGAGTGAGTATCTTAGTCCTCAGGGTAGTCGCTTGACATCTAAAGGTGTGACAATAGAATATTTTGCCCCTATGTAATTTATCAGCCAAGGCTGATAATCATGTGCTCTGAGACTTTCCAGTTTTTCGCTACATAGGTGCAAATAAAATTTTTTGTGAATCCCCCAGCCTAAAGTAACATTTTAGTTTTGCTAAGCGGGAGTAAAATTTTACTTTAAGTCAGGGTAGCACAAAAAATAGTTATTTGCCCATCTCTAGAGTCTGCAACGAAGTATCCGACCTCTGTAGGACCAATAGATAGCGATTGGAATTGATGTTAGTCGTCTGCGTTTTGGTCCAAATAATACAGTTGTCGTAGAGGGTGATGCTCTCGATTCTGATAAACTCAAGGACTGTCAATCTCTGTGAGATAGAGGATTGGAAGTGCAACAGGATACTAAGCTGTGGTCACGTGTGGCAGTACATGACATTTCCATGGATTTCCCTGCCGACAAGATTTGCAACGCAATCATCTCGCAAAATCTGTCTGATGCATCTCCGGATGACTTGAAAGTTATGTAACTGTGTCTAGCTGGAACTAAAAAACATTGGTCTTGTATCGTGCAGCTTAACCCAATGACGCGCAAAAGTGCAATTTTGAGCATGAATTTTCAATTATAAAAAATTCTTAGATCAAGTTAAAATCTTTACGCGATAAGTAAACATTAACATCGATTATTTTGCAATTAAAAAGAAAAACGTGATTTTTTGACTTAAAAATTTTTCAAGGTCGATTTTGTACCCTGCCCTGCCTTCGGAGGGTTTCCATAACGCCAGCAATCGTGCAATTTTTCTCTGAACTTTCAAGAAACGCATTGTTGCGATTTTTATCTAGCCCCTATATTTCTTAAATACATATGAATTTTCAAGCAAAGATTTTAAAATTATCTTAGATTTTTTTACACTTGAAAATTCATGCACAAATGAATGTAACGAGTCGAATATTCCGAACGCGTGCAACTTCATATAAAAAAATCTAATATTTGAATTAAGCAAATAGCATCATTATTCTCGTACACAAACAAGTGATAGATTTGACCATGGCGGTAGCAAAATTGGTACAGCTCTCCCCGGCTATAGGCGAGGAGTTCCGGGTTCGACTCCTGGTCGAGGTTGACATTTTTTCACTTTGTGTACAATTCAAATTACATTGTGGCATAATAATATAGTCATCTTTAGATGTTGTCAGCTCCACAGATTTAAAATTTGCGTGAAAAATCATTATTAAAGTCTTGGAAATCAAGATTAAAAACTATTGCCTAAACTGATCATTTAGAGACCTCTAAAAATCAATTGTCTAATTGTTCATGCACAAAATTGCACTTTTGCGAGTTAATGGGTTAATCAGCAATTCGTCGCAACCTTTCGAGCATGAGCGACATATCCCGGGACGCTTATCGGCAGTGTTTATCCACTTAAGTGATTATATACCCAGTTGAAAAAAATTGCGTGGATGTCCACATGGATTATCCACTCAATAGAAAAACTAGTTGTACAACATAATCATAATTTTAAAATCTTGCTTTCGCTCTCTCTCTGGATGGGTACTAA